TTGATTGTTCAGATTGGCGCAGGCAAAAGACTTAAAGCTTTATGGGGGAAGGGCTACATCATTTTCCCCCCAGCTCTTGTCCTGTGCAGCCGTTGTGTGACAATACTCCAAGGGTGGCGCCTTTGAAACTTTACCCAACTGGAACTCTGTGGTTGACGATGATCCACGCATCAAGAGCCACCCACGCTTCCTCAAGACGTTGGACTACCGTCCTCTCGCTGCAGTTGGAACTCTTCCCATATTGGAGTCTCAAGCTACCGGGTCGTCATCTATTGTGCGGCCTTTCACTGTTCCGACAGCCGTGGGTCCTGTCACGAAACAAGCTCCCGCAGTGGAAGTAGATTCGACTCCGCTGTCCCCGTTGCCGACATCTCTGGAGCTGGAACCTCTGACTCCTCTGGCTCCATCAGTCGCTTCTGTTGCACCTTCAACAACTCGGCACAAGCTCTTTGTGCCAGGCAATATATTGAAAAAGGTCAAGGTTATTCCGCACCCTAGGAATGACAAGAAGAGAAAGGCGGAAGAAGACGATACCGACTCGGCAGATGCTCCCAGGTGCCCGACCCGATCTCACAAACCGAGTCTCAAGAAAATCAAGAAGTTACCGTCGCATGATAGGCAAAATAAACTACGCAAAACCAGGAGTGGAACTACAAAGGCAGGTCTACTCACCGTTGCTCATACATCGCGGATGTATCTGGTCGCTGACATCGGCCAAGGATTCATCGTGGTCGGCGGTATCTCAAAATATATTGGACCCGGAAGCTCAGGATGCCATGGACACCGACTCTGACAATAGTTTCTGGGACACAGAAACTAGGGTGGGTGACTTTCAGCTCCGGCACGGTGCTGAGTGGAACTTACTATACAAATGTTTCAGCCTAATGATTGGGGTCTGGATTCAACGATTGCTACAGCAGTGGAGGTGCGTTTGTTTGACTTCTCAACGGCAGCAAATGTTGATCCATGTCAGCATTCCATTCGCTACCATCCACGGAAATGTGACAAATGCAAGAAATCAGGCAAACCTTGCATTGTTCTGCTGGACAAAAAAATCGGATGCATACGACTCATTTGCGCGAATTGCGACAGGACAAAGGTTACTTGCGCAATCGATGGAATGGGTGTCCGGGACAGGTTGCAGGCTCAAGCCAAAGCAACGGCGGTGACACAAGCAGCCGATCGTCCCAAGCGCTCCAGGTCGCGCGTCCCCAAGGCCCGAGCCGTCAGCGAGATGTTGAAAAAGGACTCTCCGGCCCCATTGACCATGCCAGCCGTGCCTTTATCCACCCCTATTGTGAAAGAAATTGACGATGACCTGCACCAAACCGGTTCGGTGCATGGACGACCAATACTCTCTCATGAGTCAAATACCCTGAAATACCACTATGAAACCCTTTTCCCTTTTATCTGAAGTTGGACTGAGGCTAAGGGAATATTTTTTGCTTTTCTTTTTATTTTTTCAAGTTTATATGCCAGCAGCCTGAATATTTTAGTACATTTAATTCTGCGATGAGTTTTGCTTAGTCAGCCATGGTGATGACCCAGACAAAATTCCACACATGTCAGGTGACTGTGAAAATATTTCCCACATATGTTGTCCTGGAAAAACATTAGTAAACCCCTAAATACTAGGCTCGCGTCATTCTCACCCTTCAAACAAGGCAAAGCAAAGACAGCCACGCACAGGATTCATATCATGTGACACTTCCTACTCTCCTTCTGGATTTGTCATCAGGGGTTGGACAGGTCACATGACTTAGCAAATACCCAATGACTCACTATGACTCCCTCTGAATATATGACTCACTATGACTCACTCTAGATACTTACTATGACTCACTATGACTCACCTTGCACATATGACTCATTATGACTCTTGATGACTCTTGAATACACTAGTAGCACAGCCACATTTATTGTGTATATAATGACCTCAGTTTTTGAAATAAAAATAAAGCAGATACCAGCAGGTAGTAGGGTGTTTCTCAGCCCAACTAAACACTAAGTTGTGAGTAAGGTGTGATAAGTGTCAGTACCAGTGTCAAGAACTGTTTCAAGACTGAGAGGAACACTCTCAAGAGACAGTAATACTGCAAGCTCATCATACTGAACGACCCGCTGTGAGCTCACTGTGTGCAACAACCAGCAAGCAAGGTACAGCCACACTTTTATTCTGATTTCTATTATTCTTTTTCTTTTCTTTTACTTTCACCAACCTTTGGTGGTCTTTGTCCAAAAATACTGATCCAAAATATTCGTGTTGTCTCTACGTCCACCTAAGACTCAGAAGTAGCATAGTGGGGAGACTTTAGAAATTGATAGTGAAGCTTGACCTCACTCATCTGAGTAGCGATACTGAGCCAAGATATTCTGTGCCTGCTAGGCTTTAGCCGTTGAAGAGGGGACTTGGTAGTAAACCCAAGGACGTCCGTTCCTGAGTCTGTTTGAATACTCAAAGAAGAGTTCCTTGACAGCAGGTTCAATATTGAGCTGAGAGTTCTACAATAAAGCATTTGACTAGTCTTGACCTTTGATTCTACCTGTTCTGTGCTGAGGGAGTTTATCATTGTAATTCTGCACCATTTCTTTTGGAGTATAGTTGGTAAGAGGCACTGTTGTTGAAAGGGAACTTGAGGAAGAAACCCATATATTCTTTTGGTCATTGCCATACTGTCGGGCTGACCATTGTTTGTTTGTTTTCCTGTCAAGTCCAAAGATTGGATTGACCATCGTATTACTGATCTTGCAGAAGTATCCTTAGCTGAACATACTTTGGGTAGTATACAACTAGCCACCCACGAACGACCACGTTATCAGTCATTGGTATTTGTCTGAATCGCTGACCGTGGAGATATTTTTTTTATAGGTGTTTATCTATAGATCATATATCTAAGAAGACAACGAACATGGTAGTGAGTGCAGCTATCTCAGAATAGCATGTGTCCTTATCCGCAACTGCCTTAGATGTTGAGAAACAACCGATAAATTTGACAGTGACTCCTGTGGAAGAGACGCTGGTCTCACTCATTTCCATACCCGGGCAGACCAGCCAATCGGAGCAAGTCCATTCTATGAGAGTCGACCATCCAGCGGAAGAAGAGCCAACCGCAAAAGACATTCTGCAGGCCATCTGGGACCTTGGGAGCAAGTTTGACCTCCTTGCCACTAATGAGAGGGTGGATGCATTGGATGCCAAGGTCAATTCGGTGGAGGAAGTCTTTGGCCATTGGCTGGCAACTTTAGAGCGACTCATAAATTCATCCGATGCACAATGGAAGGCTATGTCATCGTCGGTCGGGCATTTGTCAAATTGTCTCCGGGACCACAAAGACGACCTGGAAGCCCATCGACCTCGTGTAAACACTACGGCCTATGCTCCTCCACAGCACCCGACCGCTCAGCTTCCGGGGTGGCTCCATGGCACTGGGGGTGTTGATGATGTGGGCATCTCTACGGTCGGCAGACAGTGGACGCATGCATGGGACCCATCTGTAGCGACTGGTGTGCAAGGCTGCTTCGAAACATCCGCATCGGCTGCACGGACAGGTTATCCTCATGATACCCCTGTTATTCGCGCAAATTCAATCGAATCATCCCGATTGTCCAGCACGCTGTCCGCAATGTCCGATAAGTAGATTATGTCATATCCGGATCGACATTGAGTTGTGGGACTGGCGTCACCTAATTTCATGCAGTTTTGCCTACTACTCGGTTTATATGCTTTGCTTTGGATACTAGTGCTGTAGCTGTAGTTGATTGCTCTACTGGATTTACATTACTAGTTTCATATCTGAGTTCGCAATGTCAACCAAGGATGGCGGTACTTATGATCATCTCCGATGCAAATTGCATGTGGGTGATGGAATCACGGCGGCTCGAATCTTGTTTAACATCTCGTGCTGTATTAGTTTCACGGAAGTTCTTGATCCAAGGGACATTTCATTTGGCAGAAAAGGCTGCCCAACGGAAGTTCTCGGATACCAATATGTGCAATAATGTGATGGTCGACAAAGAATCTGCAATTGATTGAATTTTACTTTCCGAATTAAATGAATGCTGAAAACTTCAGATTTAGTCCATTGGGTGAAAACGGATCAGCCCAACGGACAATTATGAGCCCAGCACGCCCCATTTTCATCTCGGATGGGCTCAGCTAATGATTCAGAGCCTAGGGCCTTAATTTACCTTGGGTCATTTGATCAATATGATTGATTTGGCATATCCATCTCTCTCAGAGAATGACTTAGCTGGGCTCATTTATGATGAAGAGGGTCGCTGGCGCGGCGAATTTGACATGGGAAAGAGGAACGGATGGGCCAACCAATGTGCTTAGGCCTAACTAATAATTTTCATGCCAAAACCAACATTTTATCTTAGGTCCAGTTATGGAGATCATTGGTTGGGCCCCTCCATCTTCCTCCCCGATGTTGGATTCTCTCAGCTCATCACCCGTATCGCTTGAGGAGTCATGCTGGACCTGGTGCGACTTTCCTAAATTGGCCCATCAGCCACCACAAAATGTTGGAATTCTGCAGATGTGGGTCCGATTCGCATATTGCTTTCCGGAATGCATGGCTGATGGGCTAAACTTATGATTGCAAGAAGAGTTCCCTCTGCATGGTTTCGGA